TATATATATATATATATATATATATTTTGGAAATAGTTTAAAACGCAAAGAAAGAGACAGAGAATAAAGAAACATGTACTTACCATTGCTGGCTAGACATACAATGGAAAATAAAACTACCAGGAGAGTTTTCATCTTGGAATACTGTCTTATCTGAAAGGATGAAAAACTGTGGTTAAAAACGTAATCAACAGACTAATTAAGGGAAAACAAGTTCAATGTATCAATGAGTTAACAAGTAATAAATAAATAAATAAATAAATAAATAAATAAATAAATAAATAAATGTAATGATCACATCATTCTTAATTAATCAGCAACTGTATATTTTAATACGAGAATGAAATCCCAAGTATCCCGTCTTTCATACAACAAACAGCGCTTACCAAATATTATTAAAGTGCTATTGTTAAGTCCTCTATATCACACTGCAGTTGGATTAAATTTGTAAGTGTAGAATCAGTGGATGTGTTTACTTTTATAGCAAAACTTATCTCGCAGATCCCGGGTGAGTCAGACATTATAAAACAATATAATTGCTGATCTCGGTGTGCACTGCGGGGCACGCTAGCTTGCTCACCGACCATAACGAAAACTACAACTTCCTTCTTCAGCCACGTTTACCTAGTCACCAATACTGGATATGATAGTGGCTGCTTATGGTTTTAGTGTCACCACACTTACTCAGTCGAGAAGACAGTAATTTTTTATCCTTAGTCAAGTGTCTGTAACAATGCTTACTTCCTCCACTCTTACTCAGCAAAATACGATATTTAGATTTTTTATTTTCTTTGTTATTGCCTTTGACAAGTGTATTGGATTCAAGGGGTGTGTTTCCCTGTAGGCGACGACACTATGACGCGTGGTGCGGTGTGGTGTCTTTTAAACGGGGATATTTTTCTTGCATGCTTCCAAGAACTAACAAAGGTGCAACGTGATTGAAATGAATGCAATAATGAAAAAAAAAAAACATTTTTTTTTAGAAGTTAAGCACTCGAAATTTGACGTGGTCGTGATTGCAAAATACGCAAATAAAAAAAAGAATACATCAGGGAAGATGCCTTACAATAATGTAGAAAGTAAAACACAATTGGAATATTACAAGAAATAGGCGGTCTTTGCTTGAAGGACGTGAGCTCAAGAGCCTCTGTCACAGTTGCCAGGTATCAGTATATTCGTGTATCGTGACGCTGACCAGCCTAGGATCGGGTCCCGCAGGGGAAGCGACACTTCAGAATCCTGTCCAAGAATTAGAGTTATTATCCAAGTACAACCAGATAAACGGAAGATTTGTTTTTACCTCGTATTATTGAAAGTCAGTCACGTTATTCTTAATCAATAGACATCGTTGGGCAGGATGTCGTAACTAATTATTTGAGGAGGGAGAAATGGGTACATATTACCCTTCGAAGTAAAGTGGATCTCTGCGCCACCCCCCTCCCTCCGCTGAATAAACATACTAACATACAGGCCCGTGTTCAGCAATTTCAAAAGAGTGGTTCTTTTTCTGAAACGGTGGACCTTTTACCATGAAACCTTCGTGTACCTAGATAAAATTTTAACCAAAGGGGACCTGTTCCCGGCAAAAAGGGGGTGTTCTTTCAAACCCC